AAAAAAAATGAGAACGGGACAACAGTTTCATCAACTAAGGCAATCTAAAACACTAATTAGTTCTCCGAGGTCCTGCCATCGACTGCCGAAGTCCCTGCGTTCAGCTGCACCAGCCGCCAACTCGCGACATTTTTCCCGCAGGAACAGTTGCAGCCGTGCATGGCAGAATCGCCTGATGAGCTTCATTTTGATTTCATGGCAGTCGGGCAGCTGAACACATTGGCTCTCTGCAGCCATCCTCGCCGATAGGCCGTCCAGGATGCCCCGTGCATGCATCAAATCCGCAATGAGGCTGCGAAAGACACTTTCACAAATTGTGAAGAGGGCGCGTGCAGCTTCAGAGGGGCAGGTCAGAGCGTCAGGGACATAATTCTTTAGCCTGAGGAGGCTATTTGCAGGTGCCATGGGGACTTGAACAGCTGCAGCACACGTGTCACATGTAGCATTATTTTTTACCACTCTTCGTACCACATATCCGCGTAATAGTCAAAGCGATTCTCCTAAGGTTGTGACATGGTGAATTCTACCTCCACAAGAAAAATGTCGGTGGGCACAGCAGGCTGTACATCCAAGTCTGCGAGGTCAGCCAGGTAAAAGGAGGCATCGTCCGGTTCGTAGGACCCTGCCTTGGACGCCTTGAGGTACTGCGAGTGTGTGATGATTTTCAAGGTCATCTTAAACTCCAAGAAGTTGGGATAGGGTTGCCCTGTCGCACTACCGAAAACAAGTTTTCATGGCAGTCCTGCGTGAATCGGGATGTGAGCACAAATGAAAAAGAATGTCTCTCAATGAGACTTTGCTGCAGGTCCAGAATGGACTTGGTAGAGAGAATTACCCCTCCCTGCACTGGCTTGAACGCCCCATCCCCAATAGTGAGGTAGAGAAAAAGATCCTTAAATTTGACCAGAAAGTCAAGGGTGTTCTTGTAGCAGGCCTCATTTTGCCTACTGATCGCAAGGAGTGGGTGCCTGCTGCTCATAAGATCAAACCATTTGTTGACCTGTTCCAAGAACCAAGCCGTGGTGAGGAAGTTGGTGCTCCAGCCATGATTCTCCACCAGGAAGCGCAGGGCAGTGGCCGTGGAGTGACTGAGGACCCGTAGGGCAGTGCTCACCTACAAACACAGAACTGCTTTAGATCATCAAGTGTATGCAATGTTTGGTAAACTCGACTGAAGAAATCAATGATTTGAAACTTCCCCCTCAGTCAATAAAAGAACAGCATGGGCACTAAACGAAGAAAAGGCTGCTAACTTCCATTCCTGTTGTCCATACGAATGGTTTTTGCTGGTTTTTTACGAGTTTTTGCCACTCTCTGAAAGTTGGCAGTTCCACTTCATGAGCAAAGGTGATGAATGCCAGCACTGAAGTAAAGTACACTCCATGGTTACTTCGGTAGCTGTGCGTTGCTAAAAGTGTCACCGACTCCGATTTGTGAACCACTGACTGATTTTGTTGAAAACACTTTAAGGGAAGCTAAAGAGGTTCTCCAAAAAAAATGAATTAGAGGTAAATTCTTCCGTATTTGTATCCTGCAAATTTGAATGTGCACTATTTGCTCAAGAAGTATCACCCAACGCAAAGAAATATTTAAAAAATTCACTCGGCATGATGTCACGTCAAGAACTTTCACCTGGCCACCGAAGCTCAAGCACCATCTCTCGTGCAGTGTTCCGGCACATGTGACCAGCCTTGCCCAATGCAGCGCTTTTTTTATTCTCGTGAAATGGTGCGTCATCTGCTACAGACACCTAGTTGCCGCTACAATCTTTCACGCCTGACCAACATCCGCTAAATCTTTTATGAAAGTTTATAGGTGTACTAAACTTACGTCAAAACAAACAGGCGAGCAAAAATCGTGAGCATGAGGTGAATCACACACAATTTGTCGACCACTCAAATAAGCTTGCAATAGCTGCAGAGATTCCGAGGATCCTTGTTGCGACGCTGCTGTCTCTCAGAAATTTCCTCCTAGCTTCTTACACCTCGGGAGGGCGGGGCTTCAGCGCTATGGTCAAAATGCTTTGATGGCTACTCCGGGCCTCAAATTGACAAATAATTTTAATATTCGTGATACTGGAGGCCATATGATGATGATGCAAGTGTTTTTTAAAGGTACAAAACCGCTTTAGTTTCCCCTTAAGCAGGCACGTGCGAATAACAAATTTTATGTTTCAAGCGAATAAGAAGCTAATAGTGACTTGGGTCGAATAATTTCGAATCGCATATTGAATACTTGCTGTGCCTTTCTGATACTGCCATTGCGCTCAGCTTCCGCCATCTTGACAGTGTTGATGTCAAGGTGGCGGAAGGTAGCTTAGCTTAATGGAAGCTAACCTAAATTAGCTTCCAGTCGTGTGTAACTAGCTTAGCTAGCTACAAACAAACTAAGCTACATGCTAACTTAGCTTAGCACTCTTACCTTAGTACACATTTTTTAAAACATTATAGTATTTGAGTGATGGATGAGTGTGAACGTGTATGAATAAAAAGTCATTTTAGATATGATATAAACACTATCACACCTAAAACACCTAATATCAAGGGGCACACAGTAATCCACTGAAATGAGATTAGACAAGAGTAATTTTGAGTATGTTTTGTTCACGTTCTCAATGATGTGCGTAAATTCTGCAGTTAATCGAAGCAACAAATGAAGCTTGTCATTTAGTTCTCCTTGTCAACAGCATTTTTCCTGTAGAGATAGCTTTCTAGTGCACAAACTCAGCATGTGAGCAATGATTATACTTTGTAAAGGAAAATCTAGCTGGTTTCATTTAGGTTATTCTCAAGTATCTGCCTACCCACTGCCAAGGCTCAGTTAATTCTGATCTAAATTACTGAATGACTCTCGCTTCAAATAAATCAAGCCCTACATGGAGATTGTAAGTAGATGAGAGATTTGTCAGTCCTCTTGCTATACCCAAATATTCGTTTTAAATCTTAGACTAAAGAAATGATGAGCAATGATGCACACTGCTTGACGGGACCTCATTTGTAGAGTAACACATATTCATGGTAAAAGCCAGTTTCTTTTTTTTTTTTTGGCCTTGAGGTAAGCACTCATATTGGCCAGGAACATGAACAATCATTTCAATGTTTCCCTGAATTCGTCGCACACGCGCGTGACCTCTTCTTCTCTGGAGGTGTGCCTTCCATTCAATGCACAATCGCAGTGCCTGCGAAATACGCACGATCACGGTGTTTTCTCTGTAAGTGTCGCTTCTGCTCAGCACACCGGTGCTCGTTAAGAAGCGCACTCAACCGCGCTAACTCGCTGCAATCGCGACTTTGCCAGCACTTAGAAACTGTGCACCTCACCCAACGAACGGCGCGCGGCCAACTCATCGCGAGTCCCAAGGGCAACTGATAAGAGCGCTAGAGCGATCTCGACATCACACGACACAGGACACACACGATTGGTAGGTGAGATGATGACGTTTTATTCTTTATTCTATCACGGGGTGCAGATTACACCTACCTTCCACTACATTAATGGGACGCTTAGTGCCCGGGAATGGTGACTAGAATGACGTCACGTGAAAACTGTATAGCCATAGGCTGGGGATGGCAACATGTGCAGCATGTGCTGAGCTGTAAACAATGTTTAATTTTGGCCATTCGTGTGCAGAGATTAGTCATGAGCTGCCCAAATGTTTGCCGAGGCACTTATTGTCACGAACCCAAGTCAAGTGTTCATGCAGTGCTCGTATGGAATCCATAAGCCTCATTCGACCATCATTACCACAGGGTGCTCTCCTAGACACCGTCAGCATAATTACCTCCATGGTCGCATCAGCAAGGTTACAAAAATTGGGAGTGAAGGAAACACTCCCCCTCTAAACTTGAATTCACATCTCGACGCGTGCAAGATACTGAGGTCAAACTAGTGCTGTATGCCTGCGATGAGAGAATCATTCCAACACAATATCAATAATCTACCCCTTCATACCACACTGCAACTAAGTGAAAAAGGAACCATGACACCAACTTATCATTTAAAAATAAATTGTGTAAAATACAAAAACACCACAGTTACTAACAAGGATATTATATCTGCAAATAATCAACAGGGAGCTTTGAAGCATTTGAGTAGCCTGACAACAAACTTGCCTTCAAGCCGCCGCCCCAAAGGTCTGAACGACGGAAATGGGAAATACGGTGAGAGTGCAGGCGAGCTGGTGGTAGCTAATCATGTCGTATTACACCTGAGACTGCGGTGGAAGAAATCGGAAGAACTTTCAGTAGAAGGAACAGACACAGAGAACGTCTCAAACGTTCTCTGTGTCTGTTCCTTCTACTGAAAGTTCTTCCGATTTCTTCCACCGCAGTCTCAGGTGTAATACGACATGATTGGCAATGGGAAGCTCCCCTCCAGTAGCAAGTCGTAGCCCAAGCTGCCACATGCAAATCGCATCTGCAGCGACTTCTTCACGGTCTCATTAGACCACTTGGACCCCCTGTTGCTGGATCTCGATAGAGCTGCCAGTTGGTCCGCAGTGAAGAACTTGTGCAAGTGAGACCGGAATGTCGCTTCCCTTGTCTTTTGTAAGGCAGTTTGCCTCATTAAGCGATGATTCTCGTTCTCCAGCTGCTTGATCTTCCGGCTCATCTGAAGAAAGACATCTTCAGTGAGCCTAGGTGAAACGGGTGATGGAGAAAGAGGCTGTAGGGTTCGCTCAGAGGTCTTGGCCGCTGGTTGCCACAAACAAGGTACAAGAATTGGGTGTTGCCCACCTCATGAGATCACTCCAAGCAGTGCAAGAACCATGACACATACCCAGCTGGTGGAGGCCGCCGACAACAAGGTGCCGCGGGCAGCAATGCTGGCCTGGCCGCGCTGGTTGTCACTGGTCACCTGCGGCAAAGAGTGCGGTGGTATTGCTACACGGGGGTACGCAGGACCCTGGAAGATGCTTACGAAGCACGCCCCGCTGGTGGTGGGGAGCGGCTGCGTGAGCAGGCCGCCCTGCAGGACTGCTCCAGGGGTTTTGGCTGCTGCTAGCTGCAAACACGATACTAGAATTGGGTGTTGCACACCTCACAAGATCACTCCAAGCCGTGCAAGAAACACATACCCAGCCGGTGGAGGCTGCCGACACCAAGGTGCCGCAGGCAGCTGCACTGGCCTGGCCGCGCTGGTTGTCACTGGTCACCTGCGGCAAAGAGTGCGGTGGTATTGCTACACGGGTGTGTGCAGGACCCTGGAAGATGCTTACGAAGCACGCCCCGCTGGTGGTGGGGAGCGGCTGCGTGAGCAGGCCGCCTTGCAGGGCTGCTCCAGGGGTCCTGGCCGCTGGTTGCTGCAAACACGATACGAGAATCCTCGTTTTGCAGAAATATGGGTTCGAGAATAAATGGACTTGTCCTTTCTCTGTTCGTGCTGGCCGAGCGGAGAGGGACCAAGTCTTCTTTGTATTTACCTCGGGGTGAAAGATAATCCCCAAGGGGGACAAAAGTGGTTTTGGGGGAGCTCTATCTAGGTCACTGCGAAACAATAAGCCAACGGGACGCAGTGGACGTGCCTCCGGCCAGGGAACTCTCGTCTTCTAGCCATGTACTCTCGAATCACTAATTCTGCAAATGGTCCATTGGGTGTTGCCCACCTCACGAGATTACTCCAAGCCATGAATGAACCATGAGAGATACCTAGCTGGTGAGGCTGTCATTGCATTACAAGGCAGCTGAGAGTGACAAATGTCTCATGCATTAACTTAACAGAAGCAACAGAATATGAGTTATTGGATTTTGACTTACATTTCCATGAGGTGGGGTTTTGTGCTGTGTCAGGCTGCAACACTGACTGATGGTGTCTCATGCACTCTTGCACAAGGACCACTTCGATTAAAAAGGTCTCTGGCAAGGAAGAGAGATGTCAACAGCATACCAAGTCCACGTTATTATAGGTCTTAGAAATAAATGAACTGAGTAAAGGACGAGGACAGAGGTAGAAACGAGTACGACACACGGAGCGCAGACTTCCAACTGTTTATTTGGCGCAGACACAACAGTATATATAACAGCAGCAATCAGTTTGCGGTTAAATAAGGTTTAAACATGACCGTCCAAAAAAGAGAATTCCTTGTCTGATAGTGAAACAGAGTGCATGCTTATGCAGTCGTGACCTTTCTTTTTAATGAAGTAGGCTTCTACGAGTTTTCTTTCCGTTGCCTCATTTGCTCTTGCTAGAACACGTGTCCTTTGCAAATCAGGATGACAACCGCATTTCAAACAATGTACAGACAGATGTCCGCCTGTGTTGTTTTTTATCGACAGAAAGTGTTCTCGTGCCCTCAGGTTGAAACAACGTCCAGTCTCGCCAATGTATACTCGCCGGCAAGAAAGCGGAATTTCATGGATAACACCGGATGCGCATCCGTGTAGCGCGTGCTGTGCTCCTTTTTGCATTTGTTGATATTCACTCTTGGCTTCATCATAGGGCACACTTTACTGAGTTTGCAGGGCGCTGAAAAGACGACCGAGAGACCATACCTGGCCGCTACCTTTTTCAGGTTATGGGACAGGCCGTGGTGGTACGGGATGACATGCACGCGCATTTTTTCTTTTCGCCTCTGCTCCTTACTACCAGTTTTCTGCTTCTGTAGCAAGCGCACACATACAGCAGAGACCAAGTGTTGGGGGTACCCTGCGGCAGTAAGGCGGTCACACTGATCGCGGAAACTGGACGCCATTTCGTGAACACATGATTTTTCTAATGCTGAAGTACAGCTAGACATAACGATGGCTCTTTTAACAAGCTTTGAGTGAGCACTGTCATAGGGCAAAAGGCCCTTCTTGGTCCTAGGGTGGTATGACCAGCAGATGTGGTTGTCACTAAACGTTATTTTTAGATCTAAAACTGGATGGAACCGTTAGTGGTCAATTCATCGGTAAAATTAAGGCCATCGGATGCTGATACGAAGATGGATAGAATGCTAGAAACAGCCTTGTGAATACAATGAGAACCTTCAATATCTAAAAGCACAAGGTAGTCATCGACGTATCTAAAAACGCGCACTACATGCTGATCACAAAGGTGTTGCTGCAAGCGCCTGTGAAAAAAGGACAAATACATATCACATAGAACGGGGGCAACCGCGGACCCGATACAAATGCCGGTCATTTGAACATAAAACCTCTCCTCGTGCGCAATTACTGTAGAGCTCAAGTAGAAACGCAACAGTTCAAGGAAACTCTCAGTGCTAATACCGCTTTCACTCTGAAAACAAATTTCACCAAACTCCTCGTTGCTGTCCTTGACGGCTGTAAGCAAGCCCTCATGTGGCACCGAATAAAACAGGTCCTGAATGTCCACAGAAAGGCAGTCTTTGCAGATGGGAAACCGCTCTCGAACTCACGAACCACTTCACTGGAACTTCGAACCAGGTAAGGGTCCATTCCCACAATCTTGTTAAGATGGCTCTTGAGGTACGAGCCGATTACTTTTTGCCAACAACCCTTCTCGGAAACAATCGCGCGAAGGGGGCAATCAGGTTTGTGGGTTTTTCCCGTGAAGAAGACCTCCAGATGGTCAACTTCTGTTTTCTATACAGCCTTACACAGTGCCTCTAGGTCCTGGTCCCTCAGGAGCCTTAAAGCTAACTTCTTTTATTTTTTCGGAGAAAATTCCACCTGCTTAATGTGCTTCTGAACAGCTTCGGTGGCCTTAACATCGAACATCCCAGAGGGCATGACGACAAATCCTCCTTCCTTATCTGCCTGCATAATGTTGAGACCATTGTCTTTAAGGAAAGTCACTACCTTTCTGAAGGGAGGCTTCTTGGGTGGATGGTCACTTGCCGTGCGCAGCAATCGGTCCACTCCCTCCGAGACCGCTCGCTCTCTGCTTGATTCGGCCACCCGGTCGCCGACCTGCCGTACCATGGCGAGCAGCTGAGACCGTCCAGAAGAAGGCTCGAAGGAGAACTTAGGGCCTTTAAAAAGGACCTTCTCGATGTCCGCTGGCAATTGGACTCCTCCCAGGGCAGTGACCATCCCTCCGGTCGTAGTTGGACGGCTCTTTGAAGGCAGTGACGAGATCATCTTTTGCCACAAAAACTCAGTTGATGCAGCAGCTTGCTTTCTGTAAACGGCCAGGCGGGAATCGTCCACATTCTTGTCAACTCCGTCTCTGACGATGACGCTGAGTCAATCTTCGAAGTACCTGATTGTGTGCCAGGCCTCGGACTTCAAAATCTTGCAAATGCGCCTGGTGCGCCCCCAGGAAGGTCCTGGGAATCTGAAAAGCCCTTGAACTTGCGGTAGAACAATCTTGCGCCTTAACAGTAAGACAACGCCCGGAAGTTGCATGTAGCCACGGCGATGAAGTTGGCGCAAGTGATTGCTGCTTCCTGCTTTGCCTTGGAACATAAAAAAGAGCCCGATGTTGAAGAAATAGCTTCAAGTAACACCTTTTGGCGGGCTAGTTGGTTCATGATTTTAGAAATAAATGAACTGCGTAAAGGACGAGGACAGAGGTAGAAACGAGTACGACACACGGAGCGCAGACTTCCAACTGTTTACTTGGCGCAGACACAACAGTATATATGACAGCAGCAATCAGTTTGCGGTTAAATAAGGTTTAAACATGACCGTCCAAAAAAGAGAATTCCTTGTCTGATAGTGAAACAGATTGCATGCTTATGCAGTCGTGACCTTTCTTTTTAATGAAGTAGGCTTCTACGAGTTTTCTTTCCGTTGCCTCATTTGCTCTTGCGAGAACACGTGTCCTTTGCAAATCAGGATGACAACCGCATTTCAAACAATAAACAGACAGATGTCCGCCTGTGTTGTTTTTTATCGACGGAAAGTGTTCTCGTGCCCTCAGGAGGACATCGGGCTCTTTTTTATGTTCCAAGACAAAGCAGGAAGCAGCAATCACTTGCGCCAACTTCATCGCCGTGGCTACATGCAACTCCCGGGCGTTGTCTTACTGTTTAAAGCGCAAGATTGTTCCACCGCAAGTTCAAGGGCTTTCCTGATTCCCAGGACCTTCCTGGGGGCACACCAGGCGCATTTCCAAGATTTTGAAGTCCGAGGCCTGGCACACAATCAGGTACTTCGAAGATTGGCTCAGCGTCATCGTCAGAGACGGAGTTGACAAGAATGTGGATGATTCCCGCCTGGCCGTTTACAGAAAGCAAGCTGCTGCATCAACTGAGTTTTTGTGGCAAAAGATGATCTCGTCACTGCCTTCAAAGAGCCGTCCAACCACGACCGGAGGGATGGTCACTGCCCTGGGAGGAGTCCGATTGCTAGCGGATATCGAGAAGGTCCTTCGCAAAGGCCCTAAGTTCTCCTTCGAGCCTTCTTCTGGACGGTCCCAGCTGCTCGCCATGGTACGGCAGGTCGGCGATCGGGTGGCCGAATCAAGCAGAGAGCGAGCGGTCTCGGAGGGAGTGGACCGATTGCTGCGCTCGGCAAGTGACCATCCACCCAAGAAGCCTCCCTTCGGAAAGGTAGTGACTTTCCTTAAAGACAATGGCCTCAACATTATGCAGGCAGATAAGGAAGGAGGATTTGTCGTCATGCCCTCTGGGATGTTCGATGTTAAGGCCACCGAAGCTGTTCAGAAGCACTTTAAGCAGGTGGAATTTTCTCCGAAAAAACAAAAGAAGTTAGCTTTAAGGCTCCTGAGGGACCAGAACCTAGAGGCACTGTGTAGGCTGTATAGAAAACAGAAGTTGACCATCTGGAGGTCTTCTTCACGGGAAAAACCCACAAACCTGATTGCCCCCTTCGCGCGATTGTTTCCGAGAAGGGTTGTTGGCAAAAAGTAATCGGCTCGTACCTCAAGAGCCATCTTAACAAGATTGTGGGAATGGACCCTTACCTGGTTCGAAGTTCCAGTGAAGTGGTTCGTGAGTTCGAGAGCGGTTTCCCATCTGCAAAGACTGCCTTCTCTGTGGACATTCAGGACCTGTTTTATTCGGTGCAACATGAGGGCTTGCTTACAGCCGTCAAGGACAGCATCGAGGAGTTCGGTGAAATTAGTTTTCAGAGTGAAAGCGGTATTAGCACTGAGAGTTTCCTTGAACTATTGTGTTTCTACTTGAGCTATACAGTAATTGCGCACGAGGAGAGGTTTTATGTTCAAAAGACCGGCATTTGTATCGGGTCCGTGGTTGCCCCCGTGCTATGTGATATGTATTTGTCCTTTTTTGACAGGCGCTTGCAGCAACACCTTTGTGATCAGCATGTAGTGCGCGTTTTTAGGTACGTCGATGACTACCTTGTGCTTTTAGATATTAAAGGTTCTCATTGTATTCACAAGGCTGTTTCTAGCATTCTATTCATCTTCGTATCACCATCCGATGGCCTTAATTTTACACATGAATTGACAACTAACGGTTCCATCCAGTTTTTAGATCTAAAAATAACGTTTATTGACAACCACATCTGCTAGTCATACCACCCTAGGACGAAGAAGGGCCTTTTTCCCTAAGACAGTGCTCACTCAAAGCTTGTTAAAAGAGCCATCGTTATGTCTAGCTGTACTTCAGCATTAGAAAAATCATGTGTTCACGAAATGGCGTCCAGTTTCCGCGATCAGTGTGACCGCCTTACTGCCGCAGGGTACCCCCAACACTTGGTCTCTGCTGTATGTGTGCGCTTGCTACAGAAGCAGAAAACTGGTAGTTATGAGCAGAGGCGAAAAGAAAAAATGCGCGTGCATGTAATGCCGTACCACCATGGCCTGTCCCATAACCTGAAAAAGGTAGCGGCCAGGTATGGTCTCTTGGTCGTCTTTTCAGCGCTCTGCAAACTCAGTAAAGTGTGCCCTATGATGAAGCCAAGAGTGAACATCAACAAATGCAAAAAGGAGCACAGCACGCGCTACACGGAATGCGCATCCGGTGTTATCTATGAAATTCCGCTTTCTTGCAAGCGAGTATACATTGGCGAGATTGGACGTTGTTTCAACCTGAGGGCACGAGAACACTTTCTGTCGATAAAAAACAACACAGGCGGACATCTGTCTGTACATTGTTTGAAATGCGGTTGTCATCCTGATTTGCAAAGGACACGTGTTCTCGCAAGAGCAAATGAGGCAACGGAAAGAAAACTCGTTGAAGCCTACTTCATTAAAAAGAAAGGTCACGACTGCATAAGTATGCAATCTGTTTCACTATCAGACAAGGAATTCTCTTTTTTGGACGGTCATGTTTAAACCTTATTTAACCGCAAACTGATTGCTGCTGTCATATATACTGTTGTGTCTGCGCCAAATAAACAGTTGGAAGTCTGCGCTCCGTGTGTCGTACTCGTTTCTACCTCTGTCCTCGTCCTTTACGCAGTTCATTTATTTCTAAAATCATGAACCAACTAGCCCGCCAAAAGGTGTTACTTGAAGTTATTATAGGTCACCTGTGCCTCCTTCAAATCATATCAGTAAAAACATCTTAACACAACATGAATTATTGCTTTTAATTCACTCTCATAATCTAGGTAAATACCAAAAGAACAAAAATCTCACTTATCCTCGTTACACGCACTCACTTGACTTTCAGAATGTGAAAACAAGCTTGGAAGAGCTGTGGCTTTCAGTCTCCTCCAGCCGTCAGAGCACCTCGTCTGGAACTGGGAGGGCTCGAAGTGGTCCTGCAGCGAATAAAGTTTTGGTAGACGTCAAAACTGTGTACTCAGCCGCTCGCGTCACAGTACAGTTATTCCGCTGACGAGAGGCTCACGCTTTCAAAATACGCGATCTTACAAATCCATCATCGCACGACCGCCACAGGCCTGAACCACTCGTCTTTCTGCGGTGAAGCGAAAGCGCACAGGACGCTTCCACGGCAATAGAGAATAGATCACAAAATAAACGCTTCTGTCACAGTGCACTCGCGTCCACCGTGCTCGCGTCACAATATTATCAATGAACAATACCTCACCTCACAAAGGTACGTCCTATCGTGAGGTTTCCACCCCGCGCCACGCTTGATTCCTGAAAGCCACAGTTTCTGTCTCCTCGGGGATTTCGGCAGCTTGAACAAGCGAATTCCCCTGGAAGCTCTGTTCCGGCACTTCAGAGCACAACAACCACCCATTTTTCAAACAAGACCGGAACGGCGGAACTCCCGCGGCTACACAAACTTCTTTTTACGTTATTTCAACGCACGTGTCCGCGTGCACATTCGTTTATTCTACCATTAAAGAAAGCTATGACGAAAAGCTCACATGCACCAAGTTTTCAGTCACCAAGCGTTAACATTTTTAACTCTAGCGACGCTAAAATGAAATTACCGAACCCTGCTTTACTTTTGAAGCTTACGACCACCACTAGGGGAAGTTTTGCGGCTTGTGATTGGCCACGAGCGGCCTGTCAATTAACTTTTCGGCCAATAGATTTTCTCCTCATTGATACCAATGAATGGCCAAACTCTCCCAATATACGGCTCTGATCGCGACGTCTCACAACGACCATGGTTTATTAAAATGAATATAATATTTTTTAAATGTACCTTTTGTTTAAAAATAAATGCGGACATTAAAAGAAAAACTTAAATTAAAAAAAAAAAAGAAAACGTGTCTGCTTAACGACGGTACTTTTGCTGCCAACGGATTTCGTTTGCGTGTCGTCTGCTTTCTTTCGATGGTCGGCCACACCTTCTGACACTGCTCCCGACGCCATCTATCAGTACGAACGCCACAAACACCCCGCTACTTGACTTGGTTTCATGCGTCGCCGCCCGCCATAGACACCGGCAAGCTTCTTTGTACTATTTTTTACAGAATGAGAGCTAGGTTTTGCAATTGTACAAGAAAAACCGACCCGTGAAATACAGATTTGGCGAAAAGCCTTGATTGCTACGTGCAGGCGTCGATTTTTACGGTCCATTTTAGACCGAGCCTGGTGACTTGGGTCACCCTGTACGATATCGAACTCTCAGTGCGCCGTTCGTAACTTCGCCGCGGGCTTCGTGGGGGGGGTGGCGGCCGGGCTACTGGGAAGGCACCCCTTTCACATCGTCTGCACTGTTAGCAAGGCTTGTGTATTTGGTGAATATTTGGGGTGAAAAACACGCTATTTACACAAATTACCATAAATTTACACGTTGAGTAATAGATAAGTGGAAATGTATTAACACGCACACCACGACCCGAGGATCTGTTAACACATTTAATAACCTATGCTGTTTATACACCTTCTAATTGTATTGCGGGCTCAGCAATTCAGCTCAATTATTTTTTACTCCCAGTGCTATATTTTTTTATGCCAAATGTGTTATTGAATGTTGTGGGAATTCGCTAGCTACCAACTAACGCAGGTACCAATAGAGTAACCAAAGGGTTGTCTCAACAGCGGCGATATCGCAAAGGAGACGTCAAACCTAGTAGCGCGGTCCCCACATCTCCGCGGCAATGTAGACGACGTTTAGGGCCACACTACCGCGGGTCGGTTCGATTAATTACCTCCGTCGGTGCCAATGATCGTCTACCTTGTCTCGCTCTCTCGAATATAGCGGAAGAGAAGACACACGTACCAGAGCAAGGACAGAGTCCAAGAGCATTTATTAACATGCTCTTCTATATGAACTACAATTTCCCCATCCAAAATGCCCCCCGCGCCGGCAAGGTAAGAAAAGGTCCTTACCTGGCCAGACGCGGGGTTCCGGAGAGCCAAGACCGGGGAAGCATCGGAGAAGTCGCCGACACACGTCCTATCTCTTTCGCGGTCACCCGGACGAGTCCCTATCCCGAAAGCGGGAAATCAAGAGGCGAAACCTCCTCGCTTGTCAGCAGTGATCCGCAACCGAGCGGGGGGACGGAAAGAGGTCCCCCCCGGGAGAGGGTGAGAGGAGAGCCCCCCAAGCCAGGCGGCCCTCCGCCTCACGAACAGGTCGGAGCTCACGGCGAAGAAGGCCGAGCGTTCCGACCCGCGGCCGTTATCGCAGCCATCGGGGAAGGGAGACCAGAGGAATCCCCACATCCCCCCCTCCTTAAGCCGGTAGGTGGGTCTCAATAAAGAATAAAGGAGGCCCACCTGCTCTCATAAAATAATATATCTCTCTGCGCATCCCCAACAAATACACGCGACACCCAGCGCGCGTCTTCACAGTGTCCACCGTCAAGAGCTGGCCCGCAGGACCGAAGACCTGGAAAGTTCAAGTTCCAAGCACTTCACAGTCGCCGCCACAGCACCGCCGAGCATCACAGGCATCGTGCTGACGCCGCTGGACCCCGCTGTCGCGGTACGAGCTGGCCTGCAGTGGGGGGCAGTCAGGCGGTCGTGAAGGCGGCAGCACCAAAAAAGACCAACGACCGCCGCCCACCAGCGGAGACCAGCTGGGGAAGTCCCAGACACGCTGCCCGGGGGGGTTCGGCGCCATCTCGGCCGCAGTGGGCTGGTGAAGGGGGGTGGACGACCTCGGAGCAGACCTGCGAAGTCGTTTTGCGCCAGCAGCCAACACGCCCAGAGCCGGCCGTAGACCTCCCGAAAGGGAAGAAAGGACGCCGCCGCCTCCAAACGAGGGGACGCGCAACCGACGCTCGCCTGCCGCAGGCCGCAAAGGCGGCAAAACGGGCAGGGGCAAACGACAAACAAAAACCCCCAAAAAATGGCCAGTTTGTCAACGGTGACAGGAACATGCCAGAGTGACCCGATTCGACACCGGAAGAAGAAGCCATAAAAAGAAAGCCCCTCCGTTCGAAACGCGTCCACATACCAAGCAAACTAATTGAGTTCGCTTAATGTGGGCACCGGGGAGAGAGCTTCTAGGAAAAACGCCGAGTTCTCAATCCGTTGCGCAGGCAGCTAACACAGAGGCTGCCTACAATACCCGGTTTTATAGTTACCGGAACAGTCCGTTGACTATAAATGGCCAAAAACAGATAACAGTCTGCAGCTGGCCCGTCTTCTGAAGTCGAGGTAAATAGATACGGGGACTTCGAAGGGGGCGAATAGAAACGAACCCCCATGCATGTGCGTCTGCGAGCGGGGAAGACGCAAGTTCCCGCGCAAAATAGCCGCCATCTTGCTCCCCAGGGAGGAAGACAAAAGGGGCCGCAGCTCACACGCTCAAACCTGCTAGCTTCGCCAAATATTTGAGCTAGCTAGCTTACTGAGGCTAGAAAAACATGTCTTGTACTCGATACGGCTTGATCAAGGGCTCACAACGGTGTGGACCCTTCTTTTGAGGCAAGGCCAGGTTTCAGAGCAACGTAACTGCTAAGAGTCTTAGAGTCACTCTTCCACCTGGATCACGCGAGTCTGACAGATATCGCCAAAGGGCGCTCTGGCTACATGGCGCCTGGGTTTCAGAGCAACATAACCTCCGAAAGTCTTAGAGTCACTCGTCCACCCAGATACTGTCACAGTGCGCCTCAGACCGCGTAGCGCCACCACCATGAACGCAAAACTAGTGTCGTTCTTGGAAAACAACAACAGGCTGCAGGAGTACGTTGGCATCAAGCAATTACAAATCTTTCCCGAAGAAAACCCTCCGCGCCCACTGCAATACCAGCAGTGAATACAGCGCGCGCGTCAACAGTGTGCAAACTGCTTCTCGACGCCGACGGTTACGCGGCCCGGCTCCCGGAGCCCGTCAGTAGCAGTACCAGCTACTTATCGACGTTATTGGCAGGCGTACCGTCCGACTCTAAATGAGTGTCCGCGACTACTCAGAGTCAAAGAAAACGCGAATATTTACATTCCCAGATTGCACTGCTGATCCTTCGCTACTCTTTTCTGCAAAGCCTCGCTACCCGCCGGACATAAAAGTCCACCCGGTACTCAATGACGTCATTAAAGCTTCTATATACATTTTCCCTTCAGGACAAGTTGTTCGTGGCGCACAAGGAACCCAAATACAAACAGGTGAAGGGTTCGCCTCAAGCATGGAGAACAAAAGGCCTCCCGCAACAACGAATGTTGCTTGACGCACGCCAATTCAAAGCAGGAACACGCGTACGAATCACACTGCGCTCGCTCATAGGAGTGGCACTGCGGGTTGCCGACTCGGCATTAATCGCTCAACCATAAGTGGCGAGATGAGGACGCTCGTGGTACGGGGCGATCAAAGGCAAGGAATTACTGGCAAAGGCCGGACAAAACGGACGGAGGCCAGGAGCCACGACCACGATAAAGGAAGCCGTGGCCCCACGTTGGGCGCCATTTTATGTGGGAATTCGCTAGCTACCAACTAACACAGGTACCGATAGAGTAACCAAAGGGTTGTCTCAACAGCGGCGATATCGCAAAGGAGACGTCAAACCTAGTAGCGCGGTCCCCACATCTCCGCGGCAATGTAGACGACGTTTAGGGCCACACTACCGCGGGTCGGTTCGATTAATTACCTCCGTCGGTGCCAATGATCGTCTACCTTGTCTCGCTCTCTCGAATATAGCGGAAGAGAAGACACACGTACCAGAGCAAGGACAGAGTCCAAGAGCATTTATTAACATACTCTTCTATATGAACTACAATGTCCCCATCCAAAATGCCCCCCGCGCCGGCAAGGTAAGAAAAGGTCCTTACCTGGCCAGACGCGGGGTTCCGGAGAGCCAAGACCGGGGAAGCATCGGAGAAGTCGCCGACACACGTCCTATCTCTTTCGCGGTCACCCGGACGAGTCCCTATCCCGAAAGCGGGAAATCAAGAGGCGAAACCTCCTCGCTTGTCAGCAGTGATCCGCAACCGAGCGGGGGGACGGAAAGAGGTCCCCCCCGGGAGAGAGTGAGAGGAGAGCCCCCCAAGCCAGGCGGCCCTCCGCCTCACGAACAGGTCGGAGCTCACGGCGAAGAAGGCCGAGCGTTCCGACCCGCGGCCGTTATCGCAGCCATCGGGGAAGGGAGACCAGAGGAATCCCCACAATGTGTCGAAATTGAAAACATAAAAATCAACTGAAGCAGCACTCAATGCATTAAATTAAAATAAGAAACCGTAAATCTATTTCTGGTTATTGTTTCCTGTCACCACTTACTTTTATCAACATGGTTTTTAATATTATGTTCTTTTTCGACCCTTGTGAGTTGCAGGCTTTTTTCCTTGTGTAGCTGTCTTCACGAGAGAAAAAAAGAAGAAATATACGCAACTCTTTTGCATTTGCACAGCGATATCAGATTAATTA